TCTCTTCAATCATATTTCTACTTCTGTATACGAATGCATTTCTGAATGCAAAACATACGAAGAAGCTATCGACACTCTCAAGAGTCTCTACATGCAGCCTTGCAACGAAGTGTTTGCTCGACACTTGTTAGCAACGTGTAAACAAGAATCTGGCGAAAATCTGGATCAGTTTGTTCGTCGACTCAAGTCGCTGACTACAGATTGTTCATTCAGGGCAGTTACAGCCGAAGAACATCGTAACGAATCTCTACGTGATTCATTCATCTCAGGTATACAGTCTTCGATGATACGCCAGAGGCTATTAGAACAGCGTACTTTAACTTTTCAAGCGGCATACGATCAAGCACGAGCTCTAGAGATGGCACATCAACAATCGCAGTCATACAACAATCCTGTTACACCTTGCGCGTCCATTTCTTTACATGATGTACCTCATTCATCAGATTCCACACCCTCCGTCAATGAAACAACCATTGCTGCCGTTGAATCCAAATGCTTTTTCTGTGGTAATCGTAGACATCCTCGTTCCAAATGCCCCGCCCGTGATGCAGTTTGCAAAGCTTGTGGCAAGCAAGGACATTTTCAGAAGGTTTGCAGGTCTGCGCCATCTACGAAAAAAGGTCCATCTTCAGTTAACTCTATAATTTCATCTCTCGTTGTGGCTTCAGCACCTCAAAGTCTCACTGATGCTGTTACGCAGCTTACTGTCAATGGGAAATCAATGCAAGCTCTAGTGGATACCGGAAGCAGTGAGAGCTACATCTCTTCCTCAGTTGTTCGTAAGTATAACTGGAAAGTCCATAAGTCTCGAAACAGAATCACAATGGCGAGTACGAATCTTACTAGTCATACTGAAGGACATTGTTTTCTATCCATCTGCTATAAAAACCACACTTATGATCTATTCAAATTTTCCATTCTTCATAATTTATGTGCAGACGTCCTTCTTGGACATGATTTTTTAAAACTTCACAAACACATTGAGATTCCTTTTGGGGGATCAAAGCCGCCTTTTTCTCTCTGTGGTCTACCTTGTGTTCGCGTCGACCTGCCTACCCTGTTTGAAAATCTTTCAAAAGACTGTAAACCGATCGCGATAAAATCCCGGCGTTATTCTCGTGAAGATGAAAGTTTTATTTCCACCGAAGTCAACCGGTTACTGCAAGAAGGTGTTATTGAACCTTCTAATTCTCCTTGGCGAGCTCAAGTTCTTGTTACGTCAAACGAACGCCATAAAAAGAGGATGGTAGTTGATTATAGTCAGACAATCAATCGATTCACTTTTCTGGATGCTTACCCATTACCTAGGATTGACGAAATGATAGAAAAAATCGCACAATATGACATATTCAGCACTCTTGATCTGAAGAATGCTTATCATCAAATTGCCCTAAGGAACGAAGATAAACCATATACTGCTTTCGAGGCTTGTGGGAAACTTTACCAATTTTGCCGAATTCCTTTTGGTGTTACCAATGGCGTAGCTTGTTTTCAACGCATTATCGATGAATTGATCAGTAAAGAACAACTCACAAGCACGTTTGCCTACATTGACAATGTCACTATCTGCGGCAAAACTCAGGAGGAACACGACAAAAATCTAAACAAGTTTATGGTAGCAGCACGCAATTATGGAATAACCCTTAATGATTCCAAAAGTGTGATCTCAAGCAGAAGCATACAATTACTCGGTTATGAAGTTTCAAAGGGGGTTATCAAACCAGATCCCGATCGGCTAAAACCTCTTCGTGATCTAGAACCACCCACAGATATCAAATCTCAACAACGGGCCGTTGGATTATTTGCTTATTATTCACAGTGGATCCCTCGCTTCTCAGATAAAATCCACCCATTGGTAAATAATCGGATTTTCCCTCTTGATATCGAAACTCGAAATGCTTTTGACAAACTGAAAGACGACTTAGAACGTGCAGTCGTTGTGGTAGTTGATCCGAAAGCACCCCTTGTTGTTGAAACAGATGCTTCAGATGTCTCAATTGCAGCTACATTAAACCAGAATGGTAAACCTGTCGCCTTCTTTTCTCGAAGCCTCTCTCGAAGTGAGAAACATCATTCATCGGTTGAGAAAGAAGCCTATGCCGTGGTTGAAGCAATTCGTAAGTGGAAGCATTACCTTCTCGGAAATCACTTCAAACTTGTCACTGATCAACGTTCAGTAGCATTCATGTTTGACAAGATTCATAAAGGCAAAATCAAGAACGATAAAATAATGCGTTGGAGAATTGAGCTATCCCCTTATCAATATGACATCATTTATCGTCCTGGAAGGGATAATCAAGCTGCTGATACATTTTCCCGTAGTTTCTGCGGTTCCTTGCAGTCAGTGTGCGACTTGAAATTTCTCCATGACTCTATGTGCCATCCTGGAGTTGTCCGAATGATGCATTTTGTACGCTCGAGAAACCTTCCATTCTCCCTTGACGAGGTGCGCAATGTAACCAGTAAATGCGTGACATGCTGTGAGTTAAAGCCTCAATTTTACAATCCCTCTAATTTCAAACTCATAAAAGCAACCCAACCTTTTGAAAGGTTAAGCATCGACTTTAAAGGACCTCTACCGTCAGCTAGCCGCAATCACTATCTGCTCACGCTGATCGATGAATATTCTCGATTCCCCTTTGCATTCGCCTGCCCCGACATGTCGTCTCAAACGGTAATGAATTGCCTTTGCCAACTGTTTTCGATTTTCGGTATGCCTTCTTACATACATACCGACAGAGGCGCTGCTTTCATGTCTACCGAATTACGGGCATTTCTTCTGGAGAAAGGCGTAGCAACCAGTCGTACTACCTCATACAATCCTCAAGCCAATGGGCAGGTCGAGCGCCTCAATGGAACACTTTGGCGTGCCATCACTCTAGCATTAAGATCACGGGGCCTACCAACGGCACAATGGGAGTCTGTTCTACTCGACGCCTTGCATTCCATCAGATCTTTGCTCTGTACTGCAACGAACGCCACGCCACACGAACGACTGTTTACCTATAACCGAAGATCGACATCTGGGACAACTCTTCCTACTTGGCTCACTGTGCCAGGACCAGTACTTCTCCGGCGGAGTGTTCGTCAGTCCAAATTCGATCCCCTGGTTGAAGAGGTGGAGCTATTGAATTGTAACCCGCAATTCGCTCACGTTCGCTTCGGTAATGGACGTGAAGATACAGTTGCTCTTCATCATCTGGCACCCAAAGGCGAAGATATAGATCAAGTTGAAAATTCAATACCGGAGGGCGACGCAATTCCTGAGCAACAAGTAAATGGGGATGCGACCACTGATCCTAATATTCTTCGTGAAGAAAATACAACTGAAACGAACAACGGGCGTATTCTTTTGGAAAAACAACAACGTGTACGGCCTTACAATTTGCGTACCAGAGAAGCGTGACATAATGGCTCATTCCTTTTCAAGCCGCAGTGAATGTTGTGAACTTTTCTTATAATACGTATCTAGTCATATTCATATCTCTACCGCTATTAACACTCTTTTTTTCCTTTATATGTTTAAGCCATTCCGGCTTCATTGTAAAATGAATAAAGCCTAAATTCTTGGTTCATTCGTCTTTTCAAGATTCAAGCATCACTCATCGTTCTAAGACTCAATCACCTTCGTAACAATCAGCATAATAATAATAATAATAATAATAATAACTGACTGGCGGTCTGCTTAAAACTTGAGTAACAAAGACTTTCCATATTCGTATTGCATATAATTTCTCTTGTTCACATACATTGTTTTAATCAGTCAAAATATGAACTCTAATGGTACTATTTACTTTGGCAAGTATTTAAAATATTCACAACCTGCTGATTCGTTAGTTTTTACTAGACTAGAGAAGTATGATCTTTGGTGGCAACGTATGTATACTAATATACAGGAGTTAACTGTTCCTGAGTTATACCTGTGAGTCCCAAAGTGTACTCGTGCAATTCTTTTTAAAAAATTGGCTTTCAACAGAATGTCGTGAATTTTTCGAAGGAGGCAAAGAAGCAGTTTCATAAGGGGTTGGTTGGCGCTTCAGGTTAAACGGGATTGTGTCAAGCAATTTATTGTCAATTGCTATTTCCCTGAAAGATCCTAGACAAAGAAGAACTATTATGCAATAAATACCGCTGGAAATTCTGTACATTGTATAAAAACTGCTCAAATTCACGCTATTATTACTATTATAATTATTAAAATGATTCTTTTAAAAAGTTACAACAACCAGTGACTTTCTTGATCATTTCAATTTGTCCCATCTTCAATCAACGCAGGAACACACATAAGGGGATCAATGGAAAAAAAGAGGAAAACCACGTGATCCTTAAGAGGTCGCATTCACACTAAAGGCTCAACAACATTATTGTGCTTCAAGATTTTAGCGAATGCAACGATCTCACTTCTCATTATTTCAAAAATGTAAACTCAGTTTAAAAAAAAATTGTAATCAACTGTAAAAAATTTTTAAAAAACACTTAATGTTTTTAAGATTTTATTTTTGATTATAGCTTCATTCCATGCCGTATATTTTGGTATAAGTATAGAATTTTCAGCATGTGATAACAGCAGCCCAAATTTTACAGGCCAACCATTGATATCAGGTGTGCGTCGGCAGGGGAACAAACCCAGGACCATGTGCACGGTCGGCAAGAGTCCTAACCACTGGGCCACCGACGCACAGATGAAGCTAGCTGTACGGGTCATTTGCTTTGAGAAGCGAAAATTGACCTAAAATAAGACTGATAACAGTAAGGATATGAAAATGCGTGACTATGCATAGCATACCACCGACTAATAATGTCAGCAGTCACAGCCTCTTCTGACCAGTAAAGATAGGTTAATACACATTAGAGAAATTAATGTTGTGATCAAAACATTGAAAACCCACTGTACTGCTTCTGAATTCAGTTGAAAATGTAGGTGATTACACCAGTAAAACAATATTATAGACACAGTTATAAGTCAAATAATGCGAGGAATAGTGAATTACAAAGCTTACGTGATTTCCGAAGCCAGAAGATCTGACAGCTGATGAAGAATCTGCATCATTATGCGTAGTATTACTACTACTACTACTACTATTACTACTCCCACTAGCACAGTTAGTAGGGGCTGCCATAGTAGTTGTAATATCTGCGTTCATAGGATTATCACGAGAGGATCCATTGCCAGTTAGTCTGGATAATGATACAGCATATTCATTTGGCTTTTGACCACCTATAAAGTAAGTAAGTAAGTAAATAATTATGGTGAAGAAAAGCATTTCAAGTGACGAAACATTCTCCCTAACTATATGAAACAAGAAAGTAAAAGGATGAAAGGTATTACTACAAGTTTATGTACGAGTAATTTTATTTTATTATTATTATTCCCTTGAGCACCGCGAGTGGAACAAAAAAAGCTTCAACAACACATATCTCAATTTCTTCCTATTCTCTCAAGTCCCTTCTTAGTTGGTTCCATGAATGTCTATGCGCTTTCACCTCCTCATGACACAATCTCCTCTATGTCATCCTCAGTAGTCTAAATCATCCTTCTCCAATCGGATTCCACTCAACACCTGGCGAGTGGTGTCACTCAACAGTCTTTAAGTCACGACATTAACAGTGAGTTGCTCTTACTAACTAATCCTATTTGGACAATTATTACGAGAAGTTTCACCGACGTACAAAGTTCTACGCTGATTTTTTAGTCTGTTATTACTGAAATGCAAATGTTCAAAAAAAAAGGGGCTGAAAAATGATCAATCGATGAAATAATAATACAACTGAGTCTTGTACAACAAATGGCACATTCATCAGATCTATAAATTGAAATCTAACACTTAACCTGTGGCCGCAATTCATACTTATTTTTCACAAACTCACATATCATTCTGAAATAATAAATGCACAGATTTCTAGAATGACCTACTGGACAGCTGTTTCATCCTACTTTGGGACTCTTCATCAGCACGCACCCATTTGCTTTTGAGTGATAGTAAGTTGACAACTGAATGATCATAGAAACAAGTAAACTGTATACAATTTTTTGTGACCGAAATGAACATTTGGAAACAAAAATACCGTTCAACAGACTACATGTACACTTCTTGAAACGCATACATTGTTTATGTTTCATGGCTTTGCACATCATAGCAGTTGATATATTCTTGGAGTATATGAAAAAAGATGGGAATCAGAATGATCTGAGTATGAAGTCCCGGAGGAAACGTCTGCTTCGAACCATTCAAATAATACAAGTTTGTATTTGAAAAAAGAAAGACCCTAATGCTATCAGTTAAAAGTTGTGGATGTACAATCTTTCTTAATCTGCTGTTTCTTGGATCTTAACTACCTGAAAAGGATTTTTCATGTCTTGCTAAATGAGCGATAATAGTTGTAGGCGGGTTGATAATACTCTCCACTGGCGCAGAATGAAGTAGGTATATGGGATCTGAACCTAAGACGCATTCATTGACAAGAGAACCGAGAGCATAGGCCAGTGGAGCCACACTAAATCTTTACGGACTAAGGAGACAGACAACATAGTTGTAAGGCTGGTGATAATTCACAATACACCACTACAACACACCTTTCCAGCGAGCAGAAAGATTTCACCTTCAAATTACTAGAACATAGAGTAAGTTACATGTGCGTCGGTGGCACGGAGGTAGAATGCTCGCCAACCAAGCAGGCGGTTTTGGGTTCGGTCCCCGGCCACAGACGCACTCCTTTACGCCTCTAAGCCAGCAGTAAGACTGGTAAAGAGGGCATGAAGCTAGCAAACCCATCCCGTAAAAATAAGTACTACTGCTACAGAATCTTCAAAGCTCTAGCTTGAAGCCTCATGTTCCACTGGGATTGTATAGGAAAAAGAGAGTAAGTTATTGCCTATAAATTTGATGCTACACAATCGTTTCTTTGGCATAGTAACTCCCGAGTTTTTCTAAGTTGATATAATAATGTGTCCATGAAAAGTGTACATTAAAACACTAATAACAACCAGCTAAATTTCAAATAGAATTTAATACAAAGTAAACTATTTTTTTGTATGATTACTTCCATCTTAGTTATTTCATGTTGGCTTGTTTTATAGTGGTCAGCTAGTGAAAACAGGAAAAATTTAGTTTTCACATTATATGATTATATTTACAGTAAGTAAATTGGAAAGCAACACTGGAGCCCAGTGTTTACAGTTATATGAACTGATGACGTTTCGAGCACAAACTATTGCTCATAATCATATCAAGTTACTCACACAACTTTGATCTCTCATTTATATACATGTGTGGAATGGATTAGATATTAGAATAAAATCAATGTGAGATAATGTACATTCAGAAATAATCGTACGAGTGTTGTTGATCAATTGCAATTAGATGGGAAAATTGGACGAGTGTTTTTACAGTCATAATAAGCTGCTTGTTAGAATGTGTTTGAATTGAAATAGAATTTTAAGATTATTTATTATCTTCTTCTGGTTTGACTGATGGCATTAATACGAGTGTTATTGATCTACTATAATCAGATGGGAGATACGACGAGTGTTTTAATAGTCATAATAAGTTTTTTGTTAGACTGTTGTGATGTGTTTGAATTGAAATAGAATTTTAATATTATTTATTACCCTCTTCTGATTTGACCTGCGGTAATAATATCTTCCATATCTCTGGTATTTGCATTGAGTCATTTTTGTTGCATGTGTTGGGTGTGGACTCGATAAATAAGGATTCCGTGATCAACCTCTCTCTCCACTTAGCTATATTACTTTTTAGAATTTCAACCCTCTCCCACCCACCCTATTGTGTGGTTGTTTGTTATTGCGTGAAGTGCAATAGCTGGGCTTTTTTCTAAATTACTTATCTTTTTAGGGTCAACCATTCTTACCTTAGCTAAATTCTTATGTTCTGTTAATCTGACTATCCCTGACCTACTAGTTTGACCTATGTAGTTGACCTCACAGTTATTGCAGGGTATTTTGTAAATTATATTATTTTGTTTAATTGGATCCACCGGGTCTTTTAGCCTACAGAGCTTGTCTCTGAGTGAGTTTGTAGGTTTGAGTGCCACCCTAATTCCTGCTTTATTAAGAATCCTACGTAGGGCCTCAGATGTGCTTTCCTTATATGGTATAACAGTGGATGACTTATATTCTTTCTTATTTGTGTTATCATTAATAGTTTCACCATTATTTTTATTTTGCTTTTGGTTTTTGCTGATCTTCCTAATGAATTTTATAGGATAGTTATTCAACACCAACGCTTCTTCTATCTGTTTTATTTCATCATTTAGGTCTTTTTTTGTGCTGCTTAGTGCTATGGCTCGGTTTGTTAGACACTTTACTAAGCCTACCTTAACAGTTAACGGGTGAGACGAATTAAAGTCTAAATATCTATTAGAATGCGTTGGTTTTCTATAAACACTAGTGTGTAGTTTGCCTTCTTCTATTCGTTTTATTTTACAATCTAACATAGCTAATTCTCCTAGTTCATTTTCTGATTCAAATGTGAATTTAATTCCCTCTACTTGTGAGTTTATATGTGTCAGGAAGCTAGAGATATGTTCTGTTTTTAACACCGTGAAAGTGTCATCCACATATCTCCACCATATTTTTGGAGTGGGGTTAAACGTATTAAGAGCACTACTTTCCCAGCTGTCCATAAATATGTCTGCTACAATAGGGGATATTGGTGATCCCATTGCTACACCTTCTGTTTGTCTATATATTTTGCCTTGGAACTTAAAGATGGTAGATGTGAGACATAACTGACTCCTTAACATAATTTGTTCAATGGGCATCAGTCAAACCAGAAGAAGATAATAAATAATCTTAAAATTCTATTTCAATTCAAACACATTCTAACAAGCAGCTTATTATGACTGTAAAAACACTCGTCCAATTTTCCCATCTAATTGCAATTGATCAACAACACTCGTACGATTATTTCTGAATGTACATTATCTCACATTGATTTTATTCTAATATCTAATCCATTCCACACATGTATATAAATGAGAGATCAAAGTTGTGTGAGTAACTTGATATGATTATGAGCAATAGTTTGTGCTCGAAACGTCATCAGTTCATATAACTGTAAACACTGTGCGATTTATCAAAATAAAATCTTATCTATAATGGAACACTGGAGCCTTATTTACATTTTCAAAGGAGATAAATTATTGATAAGGCGGTTTAACTTCATCACATTTAATTTCTGTATGGGTTCCATATAGAGGTTTCAATTATTTCTGACTTGTTTCAAGTTTTATCACCAGTTGATATTAGTTCGACTTAAATGGACAGCCTCTTCGTCCTAGTATGGGACTCTTCAGCACTATGCACCCACAGGGACCTTCTGGTTACAAGGCGAGCTCATAGACCATCCAGCCACTGGGACCCAGTTCAATGACCCACCAATTCCAAATTCTACGAATTTGTGATTCCTGCGCGATTATCAGCCAATGTTATCGGCGAGTACCTGTCCTCACACGCGACAGGATGGGCTCCACTAGTCACGATTCCTCACTAGAACACTCCAAGTAACTTTCGCGGTGACATTGGCTGGTGGTAGCACTGAAATCAAGGATTGGTAGAAGTTGGAATTCACAGGCAGTCGAAATGGGTCCAAGGGGTTAGACGGTCTATTTCTATTTTGATTATAGCTTGATTCCACACAGTATCTTTGTTACAAATATGAAATTTTCAGCATGTGATATCGGTAGCCCATATTTTGCAGGCCGACCATAGATATCAGGTGTGCGTCAGCTGGGGATCGAACCTCGGACCATGTGCATGGCCGGCGAGAGTCCTAACCACTGTGCCACCGATTAACATCCTGGACTCCACTGCTAGTCATCATCCACCTATCAACTTCTAATTACATGCCGAGATACCGTTGAAGCATCTGCACGAGAAGCCGACATGTCAACTTGAGACCGAGCACTTCGGGCCAATCAATCGACGAGAAATCTACGAGGTCGTCTTGTGATCAGTAGGTTCTGGGTTCGAACTCCAGTGGGCGGGTACTGATGAAGAGTCCTAGAAGGTAGGACGAAACGGCTGTCCAGTACTCTCTGGTTTTGAGTGGTTCTCTACTTGATACAAATCCGTGACCAAACTTGAAAAAAATCAATTCTTTACAAATTAACTATTGAAACTTAGTATATAAATGAAGTATATGTGTAAACTTGTTTGTACATTTATAATTTTAGTTGTTTTAATCATGTTCATATACC